CGTGCAAACTTTGATGACAGCACGAAACATACAAACCTATTCAACTGCGAACAGAGCAGAGTAACCGCGAGGGGGAAAAATGGGGGAAATTTGTGACACAAGAAGCATCTAGAACAGCTAGCTTCCTCGCAAGGTCACCAACAAATCCAAATACTTACTCTGGCTTGCTTGGCTTTTCGCAGTCTGAAATCCATTTTTACCAAACGCTCCTCGAACTCATCCAGTTCTGCCTGCGTGAGCACTTGCTGATTCATTTCTTCCTGGCTTCTCTGCGGCGTCTAACGGCTACTAACGTACAAACAATTCTGGCTCGTATCCATGGTAACAGCTTGTGTCAAGTCGTAAAAGTCTGTTTTCTCAAATTCCACATTGCCTTTCGATCAACAGAACAATAGATGCAGAAGCTGACCGACAAAAATTCGCGCATACAGGCAGCGACATCTAGAATCGGATATCGGCGAAGGCCTTTGTGCAGCATATTTCCTTATCCCCCTCCGACCGCGTTATTTTTTTTTTTTTTTTTTTTAAATTGTTCAAGTTATGGCGTCCTCGCACCCATTTGATTGCTTTTTAACGAAATTTAGTAATTCTTAGCCCACTCATATATTTTTAACAAAATTCTGGACTGTACCACCAAACTTTTCCCTTCCTCAAATTTCGGCGTTCTTTGCCGGTGCAACGCTATGACTACTCGACTCTTCCCCTCCCCCTCCCCACTCCCCTTTTCCCCACCCGTTCAGCAATTCCCGGGGGAAGCACGCAAAATGAAGCAAGAGATGGCACTTTACTCGAGTCAATATTTTCCCGCTAAACAATACGTTCTTTGCATTGAAATCGCACTTCTCTACCAGTTTCGATATACTTCCTTCCCAAGCAAATGGTTTTGGACAGAAAACCGAAACCACCATCCCTTTCGACCGGAAACCGAAAATACCATCCCTCACTGCAACAAATACTAGATGAAATGGCCAGTGGCGGAAAAATGATCTGTCAAGTCTCTTGCGATGGCGTGGACGCCTACAGGACGTTACCTCTCCACTTAAATTCGATCTCTATTTGCATGCATCTTTCGCTGCAAATCGGAATGAAAATTCCGTCATTTTATTGGCTTCAGATATT